CCATTGAATTTGATCCACTCGTATAATTTATTTCCGCATCCAATCGGCAATTCCTCATTACGATCGAATAATGCTTACTTCGTGCCAAATAGCATTATTTCATAAACTAAAATTTATCCGTTTCAGACGACTAATTGCGAGGGGGCTGGAGGTGGGGGTGGGATCCCATGTCGTCTATTTACATGCGAGCATAGCACAAGGCTCGGGGGGTTCTTTTTTTTTTTTTTTTTTTAGCGCAACTGCTACTTTTTCAATATGACGTCTATTCGGCAAGGTTTTTTCGCAACTTTTACAGCCCGAAGCGCTCTCGTCCCCAGTCCCATCGGTACACTTTTGAGAATTGACCGGCCGATGACAAGTCGACAAGTCCGCGTCTTAGGCGTCGAGTCGCATTCGGGCTACTCTCCACCAAATCCAAGCAAGAGCTCGGGAGACGGGAGTACCCGAGTGGCGACGCGTGCACGATGACAATTTCCCCGGATTTGACCATTTATATAATTTGTCAGCGGCAAACGCGGCCCATGCAGCACGCGGCTTTACACACGATTTGGCAAAAAATTACGCTGCGTTCGCTCGGCGTCCCTACTCTCTCGTCCTGCTCCGCCCGCCACTTTCACCGCGTCATCTCTCACCGCAATCTTTTCTCTGCGCGCACGATAAAAACAAGCGGAGCTGCTTGATCCGGCAGTTAGTTTGGAGCGACGCCGATGGCTCGATTGGGGTTGCGGGCGGGAGGGAGACTTGCAATCACGTGGAAGTAACGACGACCGCAATATTGTCCAGGGGAGCGGAGCCGAGGCCCCGCGAACACGAAAACGTTATAGACGAAGGAGTTTCCTCCAATCCGGCCTGCGCACGCACGTTCAAATCGGGATTACGTCTTTTTATCTTCCTGCAACGACACGCACTGCTATCCGATAATAATGTCCTGCGCGTTTGTGGTTATCGTTATTGTTCACCTCGTGTCTTTTGGACCAATAATTATATGGAAGCGCGTAAAACATGCGTAAATATATATTTTTAACGACTCTATAACGAGACACGATATTCGTCTACATAATAGTAATAATTAACATCTCCAATTATAATTAAAATCAAATACCGAGTGTTCGATAACGCCAACGTCACATATTTATGGAATATTCTAACGGCTCAGTGGCTAAATATACGGATACGACGAACGTCAATATTCCTAAAGCACGTAAAGTAAGTGGGCGAAGAGATGTAATGAAATTAAAAAGGAAAAGAAAAAGAAAATGAAAAAGAAAAACTATGTGGCATATAAGGAGTGAGGTGTCGATGTACAGTAGTATCGAGCGAGTACTCAACGCCAAAAAGTAATGAAACTAGCAAATTCAAAGCACTGTGATACCAGAGTCATGGCTTAATTAACCACCAACGTTAACCGCCGACAGTAGTGTCCTTAGTTAGTGCGAACAAAGTGGATCGAATGGCAGCAGCCGGAAAATGGGATTACGGGTAGAAGTCGTGCGGTGCGCATCTCCGGCAAGGAAAAAATAAACGAGCTTAACGACGAATCGCGTGTCGTCCGCGGCATGGATTGATCATTTGGGCGCGAGGACCGGGATCATCGGGCAAATTGGCGTCGTGCCCTCTCGCCGCGCTCCACCGGCGTCACAAGGGGTGCGAGACCTCACGCGCGAACGAACTAAGCCCAAGATTGGTTTAGCTGCCACGAAAGCACGACGCACCGCCATTTGATTACGCGTCAACGAGCTAAACGTACCCGCAACTACGAGCCCCGCTTCTCGCTTCGCTTCGTCTCTCCCACTCTCCCGCTCTCTCTCTCTCTCAATCTATCTATATATCTATCTATCTATCTCTCTCTCTCTCTCTCTCTCTCTCTCTCTCTCTCTCTCTCTCTGTGTCTCGCACGTTCTCTGGCACTCGGAGGCTCGGGCACGTACGTACGCACGCACGCACACCGACGAGCCAGCCCTTTTTTTCTTTCGATCGCTCGCGCCCTCCTCTCCCCCACCACTCTCATCCCATTTCCAATCGCAGCGTGCTCGGGGATTCCGGCGAAAAAAGTCTCGTTTGGATATACACAGCAGGTGAGGTAATATCGATACCCGTCCACGGCAGATCTCGCCTTTTACACGGCGGCAAACCTTTTATACGCCGACTTTTTTTCTCCCTCGCGTGTCCTCCGGTTTACTGCGTCTCCTCTAGGTGCGATGCATAAACATGAAATTTTGGGGAAAAACGTCGGTTTGCCGGGTTTCGCATGGCTGATCGGTCGGTGCCTCGCGCGCTCCCTTACACACCTCCTTTCCCTCCTTCCCCCTTCCTGCCTATTTCTCATTATTATTATTATTATTATGATTATTATTATATCGTTTTTTTCTTTTTTTTTTCATTTCGAGATGTGAGAAAAGGATTAAGGGTAAGTAAGTAAGTAACGGCGCAAAAGGGAGACAATTTTTCTCAAATCATCTGCACTCCATCGCTCTCCTTTCTCTTCGTCCGCATTCGTTACTTCCCTCCAGCCCCTATCAAATCTCTACGGCTGTGCCGTGCATCCATTTCTATATCCGACCGCGATCTCGATAACCCTATGTATCCGCGCGCTCTCGAGGCCCGAAATAGTTGCAATTTACAGGGAGAGGATATAAAGAGCGACAAACCCGAGTCGTCCAAGCGATCGGAAACGCTCGTAAGAATGAGCGGATTACCCGAAACGCAGCCCGAAGCCGAGCTCCTCTCCGGATGAGTCCGTGTGAAATTCTTAAAATTGGCAGGGCACGTCGAGGCACAAAGAGCGCGTTACCGTGGCGCGAAAGCAACGACCACCGGCGCCCGGACCTTGATAGATCGTCCAGCGAAACGAAGGGGTAGTTTGCTTTAATCTATCCCGTAATCGCCGCTCGACAGTTGGCCCCCGTTGGCTGCCTTTTTGTCGAGCGTTAGATGGATGAAGCCATTTACATTTTGTCAGTGCGACATGCGCTCTCGCTATCATATCTATCACCACCCCCTCGGACCAGCCCCCTTCCACCCGCCGACCCTTCGTCGCTCTCTCTCTCTCTCTCTCTCTCTCTCTCTCTCTCTCTCTCTCTCTGTCTCTCTGTCTCTCTGGGCAGTTCGCTCGTCGTAGCCGACCAAACCATCCACTGATGCCTCACGTGCGACTTTCCACCAACTTTACTTGCAACCGGAGCCCCGGCACTTTCGATATATATCAATCTCCGTTTTATGCCCGGCCGATTGCCACCGCCTCACCGCCTAACATTAGTTCAGAGCTATGTAACACCCTCGACGCGATGATATTCAATCTGCTGCTCACCTGCTGGACCTCCACGTCTACGTGGGGCAGCTACTTTTTGCCCATAACACCAATTATTTAGCATTAAAAATTTCAGCGATATATTACTCACTCTGGCCAATTATTTTATTATTATAATATCTAAAGTGCACGAATAACATGTAAAGTGAACTTTTCCTAAGGCGTTTATAGAATTTTAATTTGACAAGTGTTAAATATCTTATCATCGGCAAACCGCAACTCAAATTAGGTCCAGCATGCGCGTTTATCAATGCGGCTGCAAGATTTCAGAGGAAAAAATAATTTTACGCTGAGCGTTGTAAGATATTGTGTATCGAGGCGCCGATTGCATTTTATTCTTGTGTTTTTTTTTCCTTTTTTTTTTTTTTTATTGTTTGTTTGATTTGTCTGAAATATGCCTCTCGGCGACCGACATGTACTACCTGCTAATATATAATATCGAAAGGAAAAAGAAGCTTGGAGCGATGGTCTGTCCGAATTGATCGTCACTGAAAGTGAGAATAAAGGCATGAGTTTTCGCTCGGATGCGCCTTTATCTTGAGCTCTCCTCTTCTTCCTTTTTCGAGTCAAAAATTTGGAAATCTCCGGGAAGGTGTCCAGAAGAAAGTGACAGATCTGTCAACACGGATGACACCTTCGTGTGAGCGAACGAAATATCATAGAGAACAAGGTCATAGAGAAGGAGCTATATATATAGAGTGAGAGAAATAGCGATAAATATGGGATGAGTAGTGAGCGAGTTGGAGAGGGAGAGAGAGAGCTAGAAACGAAACGAATGAAGCGAACCAGGTGGTCGCTGTCGTGGCAATGGAGACGACTTCGTCGTTGCCGGCATCTGCCGGATAATACCAGGGATTAAGCCAGTAGGATAGGAGACTTGTCGCTATTGGCCCTAGAATAGGACCGAGTGAGAGAAGGTCAAACGACGAACAAGGAGAGCGAGATATATATATATATATATATATATTGAGAGAGATAGATAGAGAGAGAGATAGATAGATAGAGAGAGAGAGAGAGAGAGAGAGAGAGAGAGAAAACAAGTGAAAATACATTCCACCAACTCTCTTCGTTGTAAACAGATCGATCATCTTTCAAACGGCTCTACGAGCGCCAGTCCTCAACTCCCAGCAAAGAGACTCCCTGTCGCCGCGATGAGATCATACGCCGAAGATCATATTGTGGAACGTGAATCCCCGATATAAGTTGTTATCGATTGTTACACGAACAGGCGCCTGAATATTTCTCTCGCTGCCGGCTTGGCCTTTTCCATTAAGTTTGCCCGACAGATCGACGCTACCGACCCACTGACTTACCTCACATGCATTGGCAGGATTGAAGTCGGCGTTGTACCAATTTCCAATGTATGGGCCGAACCTCGTCCCTTCTGTTATGTCCTTTCGCGCCCGGATGTATGGGGTGCCCGAGGACGAGACGCTGATCTCTACACTGTCCGGCACGGAATTTGTCCAGTCTGAAACTGGATGGTCCTGCGAGCTAATTGCTTCCTCCTTCAAAGTATCATCTGCAGAAAAGAAAATTAATTTACATTTAGGTGTGACGCTCTTGTAATTATTAATTAATCAATAATTAATTAATCTTTTTAATTATTATAACTTTAACGATCGATATTCCTTTATCTCATTCGACATATTACTTTTTGGCGTTGCTATTACTGTTATTATTATCATTGTCATTGTTATCATCATCGCCACTATTATTATTGTTCTTGTTGTTGTGTTATGTATAATGATTGCATTTTATTTAAAGAATCGTCACTCCTATTTCGATCGATTACTATAAATTTATTATATTCTATTCAAGCCAAAGAGATAAAGCACTTTTTCAGAAAAATAATTTTTGAACTAAAAAAAGCCCTAATTTTTAGAAAATTTGCATTATTTAATAAATAAATAAATAAATAAATAAATAAATAAATGTATATATATATATATATTTGATACTTGTTTAATTGATTGTATTTATCTAATTAGGAATCTAAGATAAGATTGACTATTTCTGCAATCTTATTTTTAGAACATATAATTTCATCGAAAATATTTTATCATATAATTATTTAATCTACTACTATTATTAATACAAATAGATATAATCGCTCATAAAAGTCAAAAATCTTTGAAATCTCTTTCTTTGATATGGAATGAAACTTTTATTAACAATAAATCGTCATATTCTCAATAATACAGTGATAAAGGAAAATACATAAAAGTAAAATAAATACAATGTCCTTTAGATTGTCTGAATGCATTGAATAAATCGACGAGTTCGAACCGAAAAAGGCAAGGACAGAAATTCAGTGAAATTTAGATTATATCGATGATAACATAATTAAGAAATGCAACGCCCTGACTTCTATTTGTCACAACATTGTCTAATTGCAAATCAATTTATATAATGAATACGAGATTCGGAATGAATGCTACGACTATAAATTATTAGTCAATAAAATAATATATACCAACAATAATGCCATAAAATAAATACTACAAATTAATTTCATCAATCACTCGAGGAAGTTTTTATAACAGTTGAAATTAAATTCTTTAGCAAAAGATACGTATCAAAGATTTTCTCAATAGGATATACTAACTTTATAATTAAATGTACAGACTTAATAATTAAGTGTGAAATATTATATTGAGCAATACATTCAATACTTAATTTATGTAATTTTAATACATTTATTATACGTTCATTCAACAGTAAGGCGTAACGGATAAAGAATAATGATTTTGAAAAACATTACGACCGTTAAGAATATACCCACTCTTACCGAACACATTAGTTTACAAAAACCTACAAGCAAAGCAAAGCATGAAAACTCACTTTGTTTCGAGGTCGGTTTTGTCTCGTTTTCTTCGGGGAACCCCCCCCCCCCTCCCCCGTCCCAATTCCGGCGCCAGTCCGCGGCAATATTGATGAAGGCAAGCCGAAAATATCTAATATCATCTTATCTGTCGATAATAATTTTGTAGCAGCTCTTATCTATACAATCGCGTCTGTATCAATTTTCCAAAATGAAAGAACGAAATGATAATAGGCACAGTGCATAAAATTAAATTAAGGATACAAATGAAGCCGACACTAAATAGGGGTGGAGGGGATGGGTGGATAGGATTTTTTACGGGCTGATAGGAAACGGCCAAGCGAGGAAACCCTTTCTTCGAAATTTGCCGCGCCGAACGTAATAATAGCGTAGTAAAGGGGTACAATCAAAGGATAAAAAGGAAAATTATGTAGAAGGCAAGTAACGAATAGCTTTAATACATGAAAATGAATTAAAAAAAAATAAGTAGAAAACTAACGATAGTCGTCGCGGTAGTCCCTTTTGACGTAGTTGCGGGCCTGAAAGGACTGCTTCACGCTAAAGTCCCAGGGCTTCCTCTCCTCCTCGCTGTGCTGGGCGCCCGCGTCGAGGTGCCGTTGTTCGTCGAAGAGGCGCTGATAATCGAGCTGCTGGTGGGCAGGCCTCGCCTGCGGATAGTCCCGGAAGACGTCGTGGGCCTCGGGCCCGCCCGAGCTCAGGGACTTGGGCTCCCGGTAAAGCGGATTGTTGTGACCGCTGCTGTTGCTGCTGGACGAGCGCAGAGAGCCATTCTCCTCCATCTCCGGGCTCTCGCTGCCGCCCCCGGCCGAGCCCACGCCGCCCCCGCTCCCACCTGCTGCCTCGCCCTCGTCGCTGCTTCCTGAAAAATGTAATCCGAGCAGCGCCCGTTTGCGTTAGCACGTGCGAGTTCTCGCGGCCGCGGCCTTCGACACAGCCAGCGTCTTCCGAGCCGACGACAGCCGCGGCGGCGCCTGATAGGGCCGAAACTATTCCGAGCCCCACGGGTCAGGCGGTTTAATGAACTACCGTTGAAGATTTTATTGGGGTACGGTAGAGGGTTGCTTGGTTGGGGTGGGGTGGGTGAGGGGGCGCAGCTATGTATCGTATTGTGATAAGCAACATTACGCGAATCTCTGTCATCCGTCACGATTGCGGTTTTTTTTTCTTTTCATAAATTAGGTGACCGAGCGCGCAGAATTCATACGAGAGGATGAATTACTTTGGTCTTTTAACGAAATGCCGTTTCATTAATGCACGCGCAATCAGGCCTGCTATTACGTATGAGATGTAGTAAAAATCGTACGTTTCCGTACGATTTTCCGCAATTAAAACACACGGTAAAAATTTTTTACATTTTTACCTCTGCGTTCCACATGAAAAACCTGTCGTCCCGCGTAAAGATTTTTATTGAAGTGTAATAGACAAATTTTAATTAATTCGTAGTGCGTTTATCGCGCATGACTTTATTACTCGTTTTATGAAAACGATTTACACAAATAATAAATTTAAATTTGTACACAACATTTTAAAACTTTTATATTATGCGTATTTATTGCTATCGAAATTGGCGAATTATATTTAACTTCTAGAACTTTTAATTTTATTAGCAACCATCGAAACAATCCAGATAGACCGTTACACTTTCATCAATTAAAATATGCACAGCAATAAAATTCCCTCTGATAATAAAAATCTAATTTTAATAAAGAATGTTTTAAGGTCTCATAATAAAAAAAAATTCGCTTAAAAATTATAGAAGTAATATACATAAAAGTTGGCTGCTCACTATCACAAAAATTTTATCATATTTTTCATAGTTTTATTTCACTATGCTCTCAAGCTTAAATAAAATTTTTTATTGATTAATAATAATTTTGCATTATCGTGTTAGTAGATTTAACAATTGTTTTTTTTTTTTTTTTTTTTTTACCCTCTTCCGCCCTCCACTTTTTTTTTCACTTAATACACTACATTATTTTTATTGTATAAAAGGATTTTCGGTCTGCAATGTCCATAGTCTGATATAAATCTAGCATTTTCCATTGTGACAGTATAGCCCGGACACAACATGCCTCAATCAATTTTAACTTATCACTGAAGTTTCATAAAATTTTACAAATAAAAATCACACTATTATTGTTTGCTCAATGATGGATAGTTTGCAATTTACAAACAATACTTAAAAGATACATACACAAGATGATGTTTATGGACATTTATTTGAAGATAGTCGCTCGGTTTATTTACATTTCCTTCCTTCGTTTTTATAACTCTTCGAAATAGCAGAAAGCCAAGTGTCGCCAAGGTGAGACTAATTTTGTCATGCACAGCTCAACAAAGTTTACAGTTTTTTCTTGTTTTTGTTTTTCTTTTCTTTTGACACACACTTAGGCATAACGCAGATACGATTCGAGTGAATAGAAGAGAGGATGTTTTGAACACTAGCTATATGCTTTTATTATCTGTTGGTTATTTTTTTTAAGCATCAAATTTCTCACAAGTTCAAAGGATCGTATTTATAAGTAATCATAAATTGAAGCCTGATTTATTAACTTGAAATATATTTTCTCTAGCGGTATCAAATGTTACTCTAATTATTTTCTATCCCAGAATCGCATCTTATCCACTATCTCGCTGAATATTCTTAAGAAGTACAAGTAAAACGAAACATTAACTCGTACTCGACTGTTTTATTTATGACTATTCCCGAAAGTACTGCTGTCAAATGAAAACAACTGAAAAACAAACAAAAACATACCAAAAAAAAAAAAAAAAAAAAAAAAAAAAAAAAAAAAAAAAAAATTATGGATCACATTACGCAATTGAATCATTCTTTATTCTTTCTTAATTTGGTTTCTCTCAACACCAGCTTTATGGTTACAAAAAAATAACAATATCGCGATTCGTTGAAATACCAATATATATATATATATATATATAAAAAAAAAAAAAAAAAAAAAAAAAAAGCTATAAATAAAAAACTACTATCAGTAAAAGCCAATTGCGATATATGGGAGAGAGTTCGTTGCGATTAGGAAGATAAAGAAGAATAGTTGGAGCGAAGAGTTTGTGTGTCGCTCGGCAAGATCAGCAAGAGCGAATCGCGCGTCACCGCGTAAAGGAAGTGCCTTGATCCGAAGGAGGGTGTCGTTCGACATGAACGCCTTCTAAACTAACAACCGATAAACTTCAGGCAATGATATTGCAACAATATTTAGAAACCCTTGAAATGCTCTTTAGCTCCCGTCGGGATCGCACTTATTACGATGGCGGAACTAGTGCAGGGATTATCGAAGGGGAGTCCAAAGACTTTACTACTGTGTCTCGACATGGTCAGAGGCCGTGGATGATGATAGCCGCTTGATTAGTCCGAAGTGCCAAGATTACGACTCAAGAATGTTGACATCTCGGCGAGAAAGGAGAATGGCCAATAATAAAGGCATTTTAGCCTCTCTCTTTTCTTTTTCATCGGTACATTAAAGCCGAGCGCTTGCGCGCGCGCGCGCGTCTGCGTAATACATACGTGCGTATACGAGCGTTTAATGTATCTCTAGGCAATATTACCGGTCATTTCTTTATATTTACTTTCGAGCCTGACAATTGAATTAACTAAACAAGTCTCTTATGGTGAAAGCTGTAATAACGCGTGAGCTTTGCCTACAATGAGATCATAATAAGATTGTCCACTTTACGCTCACATCGTAAACCTCCACTTAATCGAAGCAATTTTCTTTTCTTCTTCTTTTTTTCTTTTGTATTCTATATAAGAAATACTCAAACGTTTGAATAATCGAAGAATGCAGTACTGTTCCCGGCCATGGTCTTATTATTTATTACCCAAGAGTTTGTGCATCGCATCGATTGCCGCAGCAGTGCATTACTCTCAGTCTTCTCGTAATTGACATAATCTGCAATTTTTCTCTTCTCTTCCCTCGACTCTCTTTTTATTCGTCTTGCCCGAGTCATTCCGGATAAGCGAAGATAATTAGGCAAATTTTAGAGGCGAACTTATGGGATTGCCGGCGATTGCTCGCGTCTATTCACACGCGCCGTAAAACCGCATTCTGACCACAGGACGTCCTGGTGATACGATGATGCTTATGTCGACACCATATTTGACGTGCTAATTATTGAGACGGAGCAGCTGCCGCACGCCATTGAACTTTCAATTAATTATCTTTGGCGTAAATTAACTGCGATCTCCTTGATTTTCAATATTTCGATCGAGGCCTCGTAAACGCTTTACCGTCTTACCGTCCTCCCTCAACTACATCTTCGAACATACAACGATTATAATCGCCCTCCTATCAGCTTCTCTACGATATTAATCAGGGGAAAAGGTGCGCGTTAATGTGGACAATGGCAATGAGACATGCACACTAGTGTTGGACCAGCGCAGGGGATTATCAATAAGCTTCGGATAAGAGCAATATCGCCATAACCGTTCGATCGTTGGTAAATTTAAACGAATTCCTCGGCTTTTCGGCTTTTCGGCTTCTCGACTACCTGACTCCCCTCCCCTACCCCACCCGTCCATACAACTAATATAACGTCAATATCTACGTCGTTTTAATAGCCATTGGCTCGGCATCGGCTAGATAAGAAAGAACTTACCGCTGCTCTTATAATGAAGCATCGAGTTGGATAAATCGAGACAATCCATCTCGACGACGTTCGCCGACACGTCAGATCGCGACACCGCAATATTTACAATCCTTGAGTCGCACTCAAGTGCCGATAACACGCGAACAGCCTCACTGAGGGGTTCGGGGTCGCACACCGTCCAGCATCCTCCTCTCGGGGAAGTGCGTAAAACGCGCGAACGCGACACTCAAGGCTCTCCTTGGTGCCTAGTGCGCCTTGGTATGAGGCGCGATCGATTCGTCGGCCAGGAATTTTCGCCGAAGAGCCATGACTGCAATGCCACCGGCAAGAAGATTCGTGGCAATCGACGTCAGGAGAGCCACTCGCTCTACGAGGAACCAACGTGGGAGATGGTGACGGTGACGGTACCAGTGTCGGTGACGATGGGCGCAATGGTGGTGGTGGTAGTGGTGGTGGTGGTAGTGGTGGTGGTGGTGGTGGTGATGGTGGTGATGGTGGTGGTGGTGGTGGTGTGGTGGTGGTGGTGGTGGTGGCGGTGTTGGTGGTGTTGTCGATGGTGGTACCGGTGGCGGTGGTAGCGGCAATGACGATGACAACGACAGCGACCACGTAGACGGTGGGTGCTGCTGCTGCTACGATTGCGATGCCGATGGTCGTCGTCGTTATTTGCCCGATAGACGAAGAAGACACGAGAAATGAAGCGTTCAAGAGCGACGTCGGCTACGGCTCCCGGCGGACTACTGGAGGATCCGAAATCTCTGTGTCGAGAGAGAAGAGGATGGCACGCACGCGGATTCTCCCTCGGGACGATCCCGGGGTGTGGCGAGGATCGTCGTTCCGGGATTCTGGTTGGCCCGCGGGCGGAGCAACCCCTATCGCATCGTCTCTCGGCTAGCCCCCTCCTCCCGCCAAGAGCGAAGCTAGTGAAGCGCCGCGGCGGCAGTCGCACGCAGCATCCCCCGGACAAGGAGCGCCCGAGTAAAAGCGACCGGCGAGCGGAGCGCCGAGGCGGGATGACGAGCGGCGGCGGTGGCGGCGGTGGCGGCGGTGGCGGTGGTGGCGGCGGTGGCGGCGGTGGCGGTGGTGGTATCGACGGGAGATATCGAAGGGGCGTCGAGGGGGCGTTGAGGGGTTCCGCTAGCGGGGCAGGGAGGCAGAGGGCGGAGAGGATTTGATAAGGCCGGGAGGAGAGCGAGACACATCTTTCGGGGAAAATGAAGAATTGACTGTCGCTCGACGCGACGTGGTGCAATTTCGGCATGAAAAGCTCGAGGCAATTATACGAGTAGGGCTGCCGCGACATTTAGGTCGAGTTAAGGCAAGGCAACCTGGCTATACGTATCCTTTCATATCCTACTTTTGCGAGATGAAGTAATGAAATGTACGTGGAGTAATGCCGCAATTTATATATCGCTAAATTAGGCATAGGAAACGCGTGTCTGACGTTCGAAGAGTAACAAAAGAATAATGTCCTGACTCGTGGTCTCTGTTTTTGTCAGAAATATCTAGTCGCTGGAATTTCAACTTTTATAGAATATAAAATTGCCTATACCGTTTACTAGTACATTATCCAATTACGTATCAAGAAGTTGTAGAGTATTTCATAACAAATGTTATCTAAAGCTTATTGAATGTATCGCTGGTGAGATGTCATAGTGCGGACATTGTATTGTACGCGATGGTGTTGAAAAACTGGAACAACAAGCAAATCTCGTCATGAGAAAAAATGACGTGAAATTTCATACAGCAGGGTGCAGCTTCATTGGAATTTCCGATTCGATCGAAAGGGAATTTTTTTCAATGTAAAACTCGTGGCACTTCTTAACGAAACGCTTTAGAAAATTTGATGAGCGCGACAAGCAACGGTCAGAGGAGGAAACAATATTTTTTTCTCACGTTGGAGCCCCAAACGCTCGTTGATGATGTCAAGGAGATGAGGATTTTTCAGTTTTCAACCAAGTCGAAAGCAAACCGAAATCAGGAAAAACGAGAGAATGAGTGAGAGAGAAAGAGAGATAGCCATATAAGATAGACCCCACGTAGAGTCACGGTCAGCAAAACAAGAGCTGCAGGACCCCCCCCCCCCCCCCCCCCCCCCCCCCATATATTGGTCGGCGCCAAAGCTGTTGCTGCGACTACTTTGCCGCGTGACGACACGTCAAGTACGTTGACTTAGACGGTCGTTTTTATTCTCTCTTTTTGCGGTTTGTAATATCTTGTTGCAGATCCGGCTTGAAAATTTCAAGCTCCGGTTTCCGCTTCGTTTTCCGCGCATTCTCGAGGGGAAAAATTTCTATTTTAAGAAAAAAACTCGTGCACGACGGCGTTGTCCTCGTTTACGTGACGTATTTTTTTAATTCTTGTCTAGATAATATTGCAAAACTGGAGCAGCTGTTGTTCCGCAACAAAAAAATTTTTAACGACCTTTGTACATCTTAACTAATAGGGAGGAATAAAAATTCTTGTGCGTGTTAGATTTTTTAATTATACCTATGAGAGTAACGAAATATAATTCATATATATATATATATATATATATATATAGATGTGCATTGATATTTTTATTAATTTGAGATTAGCTAAGAGGATCCCGCATTTTTCCGTACTAAACGACTTTTATGATTTAACAATATTAAAAAAAAACCCTTAAGGGAATAAGATTAGAATTTATAATTTTATAGTTAGACAATGCAATTGTATTATGACAAGAAGTAATTAATAGAAATCTACATTACGATCGATTTCGTGCCTTTGCATTGCATTTTTAGAATTTAAAATTGTAATTGTATCTTTTGAAATAAGTATTTAAGCATGTATTATTTAGATATTTTTATTATATTGGCTTGAAAGTAGACAGAGAACTTCTACGTACTTAATTTAGTCAATTATTTTAGCAAGTACTTTAATTATTTACACACATAGTCTAGTGAATTAATTAGGAATTACAGATGGGCATAATCCGAAGTAATGCACGTTACAAAAAATTACTTGATAAAATCATTTTACAAATACGTGCCTGGGTGATAATACAAAATCTAAACAAAAATTCATCAATTTCATTACTTTAATAATCTGTTATTTTTAACATGTTAACAGTTTTAATGAAATTTTCAGATAAATAATGAACGCGTTAAATCATATTTATCACTCGATTAATGCCTAAATTGTCGCTCATCAGTGATTTTAAAAGCATTTATTATCAACTGTTGTTTCCAACTTTTTCATGTAAGATACAGTTTCACGCGTATTGAAAGAGACAGCAAGTACTATACTCTATCTCTTCGTCTATTATCATTTCCGCTCATATTCCTTATATGATTCTCACATATTCATTCACTTATATGTATTTCATTTACATTGTACTTAGAGGCCAACAACACTTGTCACAAATTCACTTAAATAATTTTAAGAGTTAAAAGTTTACATATTGACTCCATACTAACTTACCTGTTCCTAATTTATCCCTATAATCTGTTTCGACGACTTAAATATTCAAATAAACAGCTCATAATTAATTATCCAACTAATAATCAAATATAAACACTCGATAATATAAATAATAAACAAAATTATGAACAAAATTAATGGAGACTACTGGAGCTTTGTCAATGAAAGAATTTCGTCTTGTTTTTTCATAAATTTCATAAAAAAAAATTCCATTCTACTGTACATAAATCTCCACATTAAAGGCATTTCTCGATATAATCGTAATAAAAAAAATATAATAGAGCGCCTTTTAAATTAAATATTAAGAAGATGGATGAGGAAGGGTATTGTAAAGTAAAAATAAATATCGTACTAACTTGAAGTTAGTAAAGAGGGCATTAAAAGCGCTTTAAATTTCTATTGAAGAAAGCATATATTTGGCGCGCTATAGTAGAATAAAGCGCAATTGTAATATCTCCAAAGTCGCGAGTCTCGCGGAAATTCGTCTAGCGCGCGGTGGCGAGTGTCCCATGGAGAAAAAACGACCCTGGAACAAATCTTCATTTCGCAAAATCGCATTACCTTGGGTAGTTTAACACGGAAAAACATATGTCGCTTGTGCAGTTATATTATACTTTATCGCTACTGGTAGTCGCACGCCCTATCCATCCGCGTGACGGTATTTGCTAGTATGATTTACAACGGCGTTAAATAAGCCAATATCACCTTTTCTTTGGCCCTGCTTTCTCAGACGCTTCGATCCTATAAACGCCCACAAAAAGGTTCTCTCGCCTAGTGACGTCGTGGTGGGACAAAAGTGTGAGGAGAGAGTGAGACGAGAGATTGAGATTGAGATTGAGATTGAGAGAGAGAGAGAGAGAGAGAGAGAGAGAGAAATAAAGACAAAGTGATTTAAATTGACTCTCGCGGAATTGGAAAATTCAATGAAAATATTCTTCTCTTCCCTATTCATACAAATCGCAAATCTCATGTATTTTTTTATTCATATTTTATACAGTTTTTACGCTTTACCAGTAGCTTTATACATTCCAACATTTCATATCATTGGCATGTAAATTTCGATAATTTTACGCATACAACTATACCTTAAAATGTAATATTTTACTTTACCAAAATCTTTATATAATCGTCTAAATGTTATAATATATGATAGTTTTAGCATTTAATTCATAGTGTGAAAAAAGTTTTTTTTTAATGAACATAATTATTAAGAATGCATATCAATATGCAATCTTGACGAACGTAATTTTACGGAGGCAAAATCCTTTTAACCACCATATTATCCTGTACTAACTACATTATCCTTATTCCCATAAGTCGTATTATATATTCTCATACGAACTCTTCGTATTCCTAGTTAGACGAAAATAATGTTTGATTCATCATTGAAACGTCTATTAAGGAGCGAGTTTAATCTCAGAACAACTGTGAAGAAATTGAAAATTAAGTTGGACATTAAAAATGAACATGACAAATATTGAAAATATTTGCCCACTAATAATAAGAATCCATCGACTAATATCAGCAATAAATCATAAATATCAGTATATTCTGTACTTGACCGCATGCAAAGTACATGGAGTCTCGTTATCAACAGATTGTCAAATTTAAGTAAATTTTAACAGAGAATGGGAGAGAGCACCCCGAAGACCGAGCGAGGGCGGGGATAAACTTTGCGAGCGCAACTTTCGACACGTAAAGTGACGACAGCGTAATGTCGTAAGAGAAGGAAGGCAAGGCGCGCCCGCGTGGGTGGATTGGTTAGGGCGCGCGCGCGCGGAGCTATTAAACTGACAGAAACACTTGCCACCCCCTCGCGCAATGCCTTCCTTGCCTTGATTCTGCCTCCCTCTTAGCCCCACCAATGTCTCACCCCCGTACCCTTTCCTGCACGCCTATATTCAGCTCAGCCCCGATACCGAGCCGATATCGCGCCACCATACCCAGACGACGAATATCTCCGTCAAACGTTCAACAGCAGCGAGACAGAGACAGA